GCATAGGTCCTATCAAGTCCATATGAAGCAGCTCCAGGATTTTTGAAGTGGTCATATGTTGAAGCTTCTTATGTGACATCCTAGTCTGCTTCCCAATTTGACAGTCGCCACAAACTCTTTCTTCATCAATTTTTAGATGAGGAATACCTCTGACAACCTCCTTAGACAGGAATTCTTTCATTCCCTTCAAGTGTAAGTGGCCAAGTTTTTGATGCCACATCTTCACCTCATATTCTTTTGATATCAAGCAGGTGGAGGAACACTTTATTTCAAGAGGAGTCCACAAGTAACAATTATCCTTAGATCTGGCATCCTTCATGATAACTTCCTCTTTATCATTTGTTATCATACACTCAAATTTAGAAAAGTTAACTTTGAGACCCAAGTCACACAGTTGACTAATACTTATTAGATTAACAGTCATTCCTTTAACAAACATCACCTTATCCAGGCTAGGCTGCCCAACTTCCTAACACCCTTTATTTCACCTTTTGACCCATCTCCAAAGGTAACATAGCTAGTGGAAGGTGGCTTAATATCAACCAAAAACCTCTTGACACCAGTCATGTGTCTAGAGCAACCACTATCAAAATACCAGTCGTCTCTGGCAGAGGCTCTTAGAGAGGTATGAGCTATGAGAGCAACAATTTCATTCTTAGGAATCTACTTCTTCTTTGCTATAGCAACACCCTCTTTCCTCCTAGAATGAGTCGCTGATTTGGGGTAACCATGCAACTTGTAATAGTAAGGCTTTATGTGATCATACTTACCACAATGATGACATTTCCAATCCTGCTTCTTTCTTCCCGAGGAGTTCTTCTGAGGTCTTGGTAGATGTTGGGACATCTTGCTTGACATCGTTCGATCTTATTTTCTTTTGTGTTGAGCAGAATTCACAACAGGCCTTTTCCCTACTTGATCATTATAACCAAGTCCCTTAAGATTTCCAGCATTCCTTCCTGACTGTAGAATTTCATCCAGCACGTCTGAACTACTATTGAGCATTCTTATATACTTAGTCATATTGTCAAGTTTTGAATTGAGCAATACAACTTCATCCTCCAGGTCAGAAATGGTAGCCCAATGCTTTAATCTTTCGTCACAGAGTTGAGCAATAAGATCTTGTTGGTCCTGTCCTAATTGACAAATTTCTGCACTTCTGATGCACAACTCCTTATAAGAGGCAGCCAACATCAGAAGTAATTTCTTCAACATCTGATTCTCTGTCAGAATCATATACTTCAGTAAGAGCAAAAACATGTTTATTTGTTTCTCCTTCGCTTGAGGAGTCATCTTCAGACCAAGATGTAGACAAGCCTTTCTTCTCCTTCTTGAAAAAGGTAGGACACTCAGCTCTGATGTGTCCAAACCCTTCGCACTCATAACATTGAATTCCCTTACCTTGGCTGGATTTCTAATCATCATCGATTCTTCTTCCAGAATCCTTCCTTCTGTTGATGTTGGATGACTAAGTCTTGACATTAGATCTTGACTTCTCGTCCAGTTATTTCAACAGTTGGCTATACTGTTTTTTAAGAAGCGTCACAGCCTTGGACAATTCCTCATTGGAATTTGGGTCACATTCATCTAGATTAAACACAAAGGATATGTTTTTCTTCTTTTCATATTTATCACTAATTGCTAGTTTAAAAGTCTGAAGTGATCCCATTAGCTCATCTACCTTCATGGTGTTTATGTCTTGGGCTTCTTCAACAACAATCACCTTTATATCAAATTTCTTTGGAAGAGATCTTAGAATTTTTTGAACCAACTTGGCTTCTGAAATATTTTTTCCTAGATCACTTGAAGTATTGGCTATATCAACAATGTTCATATAAAAGTCTTGAATACTTTCATCCTCTCTCATCTTCAAGTTCTCAAACTTGGTTGTGAGAAGTTGAAGTCTATATGACTTCACCCTAGAAGTTCCTTCATGCACATTCTTCAAGATCTCCCAAGCCTCCTTGGCAACAGTACAATTCTTGATTAACTTGAAAATGTTCTTGTCCACACCATTGAATAAGGCATTCAATGCTTGGGAATTACCTTGAGAAAGCTTGTCATCTTTATCATCCTAGTCTTCCTCATACTTTATAACATCAGTTTTCTTACCTTGCTGATCTTTAACCTTTGGAGGATCTCATCCTTTGGCCACAGATTTCCAAGCTTTTCCGTCAATGGACTTAATAAAGGTCACCATAGGCACTTTCCAATATTCATAATTGAATCCAACAAGAATAAGTGATATATTTAATATTCCCCCTTATTTTTCCATTGCACCAAAAAGTAACTTCCCTGAATCTCACCCAGATGCAGAGCAGGATGCCTGCTCTGATACCAATTGAAATTCTAGTATGCAAATCTCAGATGTCCTGAGAAATATCGAGACACTTGATCTCTGCTAAGAACAATGACAAGAAGTAACACAATGAAAACTTACAAAAAGTAAACATACATACAATAATTGTTAACCCAGTTCAGTGAACAACAAAACCTACATCCGGGGGCTGCCAAGCCAGGAATGAAATCCACTAAATAGTATTAGTTATAAGCTAAACAGCCTCCGGTTTACAACTTATCACTTAATCACTACCCGTGCTTAATTTCTACCTAAGACTCTTCTTAGGTATAAGACCTTTCTCAATTCCTTTTCAATCACAACAGTGACAGAAATTATAACTCAATGTAAATATTCCAGCTCAAGTATCAACGCGACACAAGAGAGGCTCATAAAAAATACAAACCCTAGTACACACTAAGAAACAATGTATGTTCCACACTTTTCTTAGGTTAAATCCATCCTATTTATAACCATAAACAAGACTGGATTTGAGCTTAAGAAACGCAATAATTTTGTTACACAGAATCTGCAACTGATTCTCCAAAAGAATAGTTTCTTCAATCCAAAGTTTCCTAAAGTGACTCCTCACTTAAAAAACGACATCTTCAGATTTCTACAGAATCTCTGATTCCTCATTCTTGAACGCCACCTAAGATAATCAAGAATTCCCAGAATAATCTCAGATATAAAAGTAAAATATCATAAACATAAACTGAAAAGTAACAGACAAAGATATCGAACCATCATGATAGGACATCTTGTCTAACATCTTGATCTTCAGTTAGTTCTTCATGTTATGACATCTTATCCAACATCTAGAAGTCAAGTTAGCTTTACCAAAGTTGATGCCAACCTTAAAAGCTTGGACTCATCACTATGATTGTCGGTGAAGACAATGTGAAATTCTTAGAGTGGTTTAACTTCAAGTGAAATTTATTCTTCATGATAAAGTATATGATTGTCGGCGATGACAATGTGAAATTCTTGAAGTGATTTATCTTCAAGTAGAATATATTTTTCATGAGAGAGTATGATAGTTTTTAAAACTATGATTGTCGGTGAAGACAATGTGAAAATTCTTGGAGTGTAGCTTCAAGTGACTATACTCTTTGAAGACAATGACAATTTATGTATTATTTTCAATCAAGATGGAGATTGTTGAGGTTGTTTGAAAATATATATGTTGATACTCTTTATGGTAGAGTATAATTGTTGGTGAAGACAATGAAAGCTTATGTATTATTTTCAATCAAGGTGGAGATTCTTGGGGTTGATTGAAAATATACACGTTGAAGAAGTCCCACATTGCTTAGTTTTGTGAATGAAGAGAGAGTCAAAGACTATATATAGGATACAAGTTCTTTGAATTTCCACACCGCTTAGTTTTGTGAAGGAAGAGAGAGTCCAAAACTATATATAGGATCCAAGTTCTTCATTTCAAGATGCACTAGTCAAAAGCACTTTAAGCTTGTATTTGAATTTCTTTGTTCTCTTATGCTCTTGTTTTAGAGTGTTATGAGATGTAGTTAAATATTAGTTTTGGAGGGTGTGGGTATATTGGAGGTCTGAATTTGTGAGGGTATACTTTGTGTGATAATAATTTTCACATAGTGTTATTTTCTGATTGTCTATTGACAATGGTCGTGGTTTTTCTCCGGTTTTGGAGTTTCCACGTTATGTTTTTGTGCTGTGATTGTGTTCCTTTTTTTTCTCTATGCTTTATTTTTTTTTCTAACCGTGACTATGTTTGAAAGAGACGGCGGCGTGATATCTATGAAGTGTGGTTGAAAGAAAAACTATAACGGACTGACAAAACTTAAAAGTTTGTATGTTTGTAAAAAAACACAAAATTCTTTTTTGTGATTGTGGAATGTATTTTAAGTTTTGATATTGACATATTAAACTTTAAAAAAAATTAAAAAAAAATCAATTTGATGCATTTTTTTAATCGCAAAATCAACTATGATTCTTTGATTCGAATGGTGTTCGACAGTTCAATTCGATTTTATTTTTGTTTTACTCCAATTTTAATTCACAAGCGATTTTGAAAAATTGACCAAACTAAATTCATTCATGATTCTTGATCTAACTGATTAAACCAATTCGTCAATTGATTCGATTTTTAAAACATTGTTAAAATGCTTTTCTAGCTTCCCTATGTAATATAGATGTAAAGTTTTTAGAGTTAGCTAAATGGTGTGATTTCTTAAATTTTCAAAAGGACATATAAATTCTTTCTCTTCTTACAATAGTTGTAACTATTTATTATTTTATATTATCTATTTCTATTTCTATAATAAATAATTTAAATAATTATTAACAAATAATTAAATAATACTATATTAAACTTTAAAAATAACAAACAAATAAAAATAAAAATTTTCCTAATGCAAATGAAACCAAATGAAAAGGGATGGAGGGAGTAATACTTACAGAAACCCAAAAGGGCAAAACATCAAAACAAAATATTTGTAATAATAAATAAAATTAAAATAATTATACAATGATTTTGAATCTCTAACTAAACCAAGCTTTTACAATCTTAATTGGAAGCTTTTTTATATGCAAGTCATCTATATTAACTAATTCACACAACTAATTCCAAATAGGGATTAGAAACTAAATAAATAGAAAATAGAGTGTTTGTTGTGGTCTCTAATTAACAAGGAATTTGGTCAACGAACCATCTAAGAACTTGAACAGGAAGCTTCACCAAACACACAGCAAAATCGACCAAACCTGTGCAGCATATGCAGCATGGACACAAGCAACTAAATATTGACCTATAAAATAAGAAGAAAATGAACTTAAAAATATGAAAAACATAATAATCATAGAAAATATTGCAAGAAAAATTAGAAGGTATAATAAAAAAAACTGCATACCCGAAAATCCAAAGAATAGCACCTAGAAGAGATAAAATTAATGACAAGAAAGCAAAGGGTAATCCTAAGAAGAAACCCAAAGGTCTGCATTCGCAAAACTCTTGATCACTTGTCATTCTTAAATGTTACTAAAAAACTGGATTATGTTTCTGTACTTTTTTGAATCTGAAAAAAGAAGAGAAGAAGAATATTGTAATTATGAAGGGAAATCGGAATTATAATTTAAATTAATTAATTAATAATAATAAAGCCGTCTTGAATTCGACGTAATTTCCAAGAATAAACGAAAACCCACCGTGACGGGTACTTCGATGACTTATTTTTTGTCTCGTTGACTATAAACTTCTTCTTTGATTCGTTCCTACCATTTTTTTTTTAAAATTTTATTTAGCTTCTAGTTTCATGTTGGTCCTGCTATGGTCTTTTTTTCATAAACTAATTTTTTCTTTTAATATAACTATAATCAAATGTATATATTTTATACATAATTTTTTTAATTTATAAAACACGTTCATGCATGATCTTATGTAGTATATATAGCAAAAAAGAGGGCGCATGTAACAAAGTACATAATTTGATAACTCCACTTATTAGATCAATAGGAGTAGTAAATAGCTGACTCAGTGTGACGGGTAAGAAAAGTGTATATTTTTTTTATTTAAATAGTATTTTGTGTATTTTTTTAAATTAAGACTCGTTAAAGGTTATTATTAGGAATTGACAAATTTGAACCATCCGATTGAAATCGATCAATTTGTTGTCTTTTTTATGTAAATAGATCGGGTTGAATCAAGTGTTAGATTGATTCGCACTACGCCAGAAATGACTTTTAGCAGCGCAACTAGGGCTGGAAATGAGTCGAGTCGAGTCGAACTCACCTCAGCTCGGCTCGACTCGTTAAGAATTGTTCGAATTCGAGTTCGAGTTCGAGTTTGACACGAACTTTTTTTTAAGCTCAAACTCGACTCGCTATAAGTTCACGAACAGTTCGATTCGACTCGTTAGGTTCATCTCATTAGGTTCAGCTCACATGGTTCACGAACTTAAAAACTATTTTTTTAAATATATATATTTCTTAGTATATTTGACATTTTAAATAAATATATATTTTTTAAATAAAATATTAAAATAAAATAAAAGTTATCATATTGATATTTAACTTTATCTTCGAAATCTACTAATTCAAAACCTACACAACTTTCAAGAGATACATTTGAGAGTCTAATTCAAAAACTACTAAATTGAAGATTAAATTTGTCTAAGATTTGAAGTAAATATTTAAACCTAATCTTAAAGACAGTATAATTCTTTTCATATGTAATCGAGTTGACTCATGAACCTAACGAGTCGAACTATGTATAGTTCAAGTTCAGCTCATTTAGTTAACGAACTTAATTTTTCGCTCATACTCAACTCATTTGGTTCATGAACCTGGTTCAACGATTTAATTGTCGAGTCGAATTCCGAACTATCTTCGAGTTGGTTTGGTTCATTGCCAGCCCTAAGCGCAACAAAAGACAGCGCTTTTTAAAAAAGCGCTGCTAAATGGTCATGAAAAAAAAAACAAAAAAATAGCATACCTAAGACAGCGCTTGTTAAAAAAGCGCTGCTAAAGGGGGGGGGGGGGTCAAAGAAAGCGCTTTAAAAAAGCGCTGCTAAAGGGGGATCTACGAAAGCGCTTTTAAAAAAGCGCTGCTAAAGGGGGTCATAAGGCAGACCTATAGCAGCGCTTTTAAAAGCGCTGCTAAATGCCAAAAAAAGCGCTGCTAAAGGGGGTCCTAAGGCATACCTATAGCAGCGCTTCTAAAAGCGCTGCTAAATGCCAAAAAAAGCGCTGCTAAAGGGGGTCCTAAGGCAGACCTATAGCAGCGCTTTTAAAAGCGCTGCTAAATGTCAAAAAAAGCGCTGCTAAAGGGGGTCCTAAGGCAGACCTATAGCAGCGCTTTTAAAAGCGCTGCTAAATGCCAAAAAAAGCGCTGCTATAGGTTTAAGTAGCATAAATTTAAAAAATTCCAATATTTTCACATAATCAGAACAATCTTCTTCTTTCTTATTTCCACTCGCGAACGTTGCCCTATTCATAATTAGAACAGTCACCGTCGACGCATTCCGTCTGCGCCTCCGTCCGACAGCCTCCGTCTGTCGTCTTTCCTCTGGTCATTCCGTCGTCACCTCATTCTGCCGCCGTCCGTCCATTGTTACGGTATTTGAAGTTTTTCATTTTGCATTTTTCTGGATTAATGTCTTAATTTCATTTTTTTGGATTATATGATGTTAGTGTTACTTCTTTTCTGAGTTTTTGACTTGTTTTTGTTGATACCGTTGATGAAAATTACTCGTTTGATATTGGCTTGAGTTTTGTATACAAGGTGTTTGTTGAAATGCCACAATGAATTTACTTATGTTAACTTTCATTATATCTAGCCGTATACAAGGTGTTTGCTGAAATGCCACACCTTATATGAGTTCTTTTTACTAATAATTTTTATAAGGGAAATACTGCACATATATTCAATGATTTTTTAGATTATGTTGCTTTAGAAACTTCACACTATTTGTGATTTAGATGAAAGCTTTAAGTTTCTGTTAATCTTGAAATTTATTTATTTTTCTTAATCCTTATTTTTCTATGAAATAGTCTAAATTCACAAATAATCCTTATTTATTTATTAAATTTTAAAACATAAATATATAGATCCGACAACTTTTTTGAAATAAAGTTTGTTTGGCGAGTTACACAATATTTAATGAATTCACGTGTCTTCATGAATGTGGATATAGTTTTAGAATGTATAGATCATTCATACAGCTTTATGTTTGTATATGTATAATGATGTTTGATGTTGCAGCATTACATTGTATCAAAATCTATATTTTGAGGGACTATATCTTTCGTCTTCTTCAATTGCAAGTGCCATGATCAATCTTATTCCCGGAGTTACATTTTTAATAGCAGCCTTTGTAGGGTAATTAATAACTAACTTAACTTATATTTGTTAGTCAATCAAAATTCAAACCAATAATAATATGTTTCTTTGAATATTTTACAGAATGGAAAAAGTAAATATTAGAAGTTTGAGAACTATAGCCAAAATTCACTACAACATTTTTACTCTATAGCAACGCCTAATTTTTAGGAAGTAAAAAAATTGTTCTCGTAAGGAGTAATAGGCAACTAATTATATAATTTGTTGCGGTAGCTTATATAATTTTTTGTAAATTTTATACAACGGCCCGAAACCGTTCTGGTAGAGGACAATGAGAACGGCTCCTATTAGCAACGGCTAGAGCCGTTCTTATATAATTTTAAATTATTTTAATAAAATATTATTTACTAATACCGTTCTCATATGTGTATACTTTTCATTCTCCCTCTCAAACCTGAGTAAAATTTCCAGTTCCCTCCCAAATTTATTCTAGCGCACAGAGAAAGAGAAGACACATTCATCCCAAATTGATTCTAACCCTAACATTTTGTTCTTCATCCCATATTAACCCTAATCCTTTCTTCCGAGCTTCTCCCAAACCCAACCCTATTTTCAATCAATCGCAATCTTAACCTCTCTCGCCGCTGATCAACCATGTCTCACCGGACTTCCGCCACTTCCCTCCATGTCTCCACCGCTCATCCCTTTCCGATCTCCAAAGGTTTTCGTCTCTGATTTCACTGTCTCTTATGCCACCACTAAAACCTAGCTTCTTCTCACTTTCGATTAACATCGATTTTAATTTAATCCTAAACCTAATTCTTAGCTTCTGCTAGTTATTATTTTGTTGGATTAAAAGCTTCTTAGATCTTCGCGACGTGTTAAAACGTCTATGCTTTTTCATCGTGTTTGAAATCATGAACTGTTAGGTTTTTTTGTTTATTCTATACTATTTACTTTTAGTGGAAAAGAGTTATAGATGGAAAAACAGTTAGTAACTGATAAACTGTGTTCTGATTCTTTACATGATTATCTGTGCACTGTGAAACTTATGTCAATAGTTTTACTTTTCCTAGATTCTGCTTTGGTAAAATTTTTGAAATTGGTTAAAAAATTCAATTCTGTTTTAATAACCGAAGTTCTTATCACCAATTCTGTTTTAGGCCATCCGTGCTTGACTCTGAAAGTGGACGTCATGACCGTTGGAGGGATGAAGAGCGATGGAGACAAGGGCTTAGGTGATGCTCGGAGAGTGCAGTGATGGGTAGATAATCAATCGACAAGGAACTTTGGAGAAACACGTCGTAGTACATCTGATAGGTGGAATGATTCAGGAGAAACACGTCGTAATTTCAGGCATTCATGTCTCTGACTTGAATTTTTCTAAAGATAATAAGCTCAAAGATGCTCGGGAGGTAACCCATGCTGGTCCTGATGTTGCTACTGCTATAGAGGACTTGTTAGAACAAACAAGCAAGGTAAAAATGTTTAGTAGAAAAATGTTTATTGTCGTTGTCGTCTCACCATTTAGGTTGTGTCTGGTATTTCGTAGATTTGACTAGCTTACAAGCTCATTTGTGTATAGTAGAAATGTTCGGTAAATTTTTGAAGCTTGCCGTGATAGCTTTTGAAAAATTATCACATGTATCTGGCCGCAGATATGAAAAAGCAAATATCATACTTGAAAAATTTTCAAAGATCAAAATGTTCTTGATTATGCTAGACCTTGAGTGTGATGACCTGGTCATGGAGATGTTTCAACATTTCCTGAGAATTATAAGGTTAGCGCATTCACTCCTGGTTTATGTAGCATTGATACATTGACACATGCCATTGACATTGGCATTTCAGTACCTATAATAATTAGAGAAAATTGAATGATAGAATGGAACTACATGTGACAGTGTCATGTCAATGTTAGACACCGGACGCACCTTCAATCTGAGTAATCAGTGCCTAGATGAAATTTACTACCTACATTTGGTTTTTCATTATTTCTGTTACTTTGGTAATTGATACTTTAGGGCATGAATCATGAATGTGATATTGGTTCTGCTAAGTCATTTCCTATAACAACACTGGAAAATGACTTGATATTTGATATATTTATTTGATCAATGCATATCAACTCTATAAATTGAGTAAGCAATGTATTTGTTAGATTTAATATAATTCATGACGCTTCACTT